ATGTTGCAGTATGGGAAGTGCTTCATAGTTTTTATAAACCAATGTATTGAGATTCACCTCGTTTGGAATTCTTTTGTAGTGAATAATACCAATACCTTATTATTCACAGTCTAGTGAAAGAGGAAAGCAAGTAAACTGAACATTCGGTCAATATGTCAAAATGCCTGTTGGTGCAGCTTTAGCAAAAAGAGAAGGTGGTGGCATCCGCTAGAGTGCCAGGGAATTCAAAGTGTGCCCCTCCCCCCACATCACTAGATGCCTCTAGGGTTGGGCTGAGATAGGAAGGGGCAGAAAAGTTCCTTCTTAAAAAAGTTCCTACCGTCTATCACACTGTCAGAATGGCTCTGATAAAATATATCAACAAACACAAGTGCAGGAGAGGATGCAGAGAAAAAAGAACACTAGTGCATTGTTGGGATTGTAAATTGGTGCAGCCACTATGGAAAACAGTATGGAGGTTCCTAAAAAAAAATTTAAAATAGAACTACCATAGATCCAGCAATTCCATTTCTGGGTACTTCTCCAAAGAAAACAAAAACACTGATTTGAAAAGATATAGGAACCTTTATGTTCATTGAAGCTTTAGTTACAATAGCCAGGATATGGAAGCAACCTAGGTACCCACCGATAGATCCTATATAATAAAGATGGAATATGCAAATGGCCCTTACACTGTGAAGCGTAATGACCAACTGGGTAACGACCAGATCACGGATCAGCAGGAGGGTGGGGCAGCGAACTACAAGCGCGTGGTGGAGAGCTACGGAACGGGCAGGGCAGCAAGCTATGAGCCGGGAGGAGCAAGGGGAGCTACTGGAGGGCAGCAGCAAGCTTCTGGCGCATGGATTCATGGGCAGGGCTACTAGTAAATGAATAAAGATGTAACGTATTGTATATAAAATATATTATATATAATGGAATGTTCTTCTTTCTGAAAAATGAGATCTTGCCATTTGTGACAACATGAATGGACCTAGAGGGTATTGTCCTGAAATACGTTAGACAAACACAGTATGATTTTACTTATATGTGAAATTTAAAAAGCAAGCAAATAAAACAGATTCATAGACACTGAGAACAAACTTGCCAGAGGTGAAGGAATTGGAGGGGCAAAAAAAGGTGAAGGGGATTAAGAGGAACAAAATTGCAGTTATAAAATAAGTCAAGGAGATGTAACGTACCACATAGGGAATATAGTAGTCAATACCTTAACAACTGTACAGTGACAGATAGTTACTAAACTTATTGTGTACTTTACAAGGTGTATAAATGTTGGTTCACTAAGTTATACACCTGAAGCAATATAATATTGTATGTCAACTATACTTAATATAAATTTTTTTTAAAAAGAACTAGTTTGGTGGTGTGGCTCTCTGGACAAGAAAGTACAGGTCTTTTCTTTCTTTCAAAGCATACATTTCTCAAAGGGTTATCACTGAGAATCTTAGCTCTAACATTTGTGACATTAGCAATGCTCTTAGACTACACTTATTAGCTATAGCCCTGAGTATTTGATAGTCTATTCTTTACAGTCTTTTTGCTTAGGGTCCCATTATCTCTTCCAAATAGTTCTCTTTGAACAAACGCTTGACCTAGGCCTGGTCCTTTCCCATAGACCACATCTGGTTCAGAGGAAAAACTGGTGCTTCCTTCCATCTATGAGAACAGCTCTTATAGCTTTGCTGGAAGTAAACTGCTCCAGCCAGTGCCTTTTGCCTTAGTTTCTCAGGATGAGCCAAACATGCAGGAATCTTTGTTTTCTGTCCTAGAAAGAGGGAGTTAATGAAGACTAACAAACTGGAACCTGGACACCTCTTGTACAAGCACTGCAGATTGCAAACATCTCACCTTGGAAAGTGGGACTATTTGGCATCTTTAGTTTTGTTTGGGGGACCTCAACTAAAAAGGGAGTGAAAAAGTCCTATTGTAAAAAGCTTGTTTCATGCATAAAAGTATAGGAGTGATGAAATAAGGACTCTTCCATGCTGTGTCTAAAAAGCTGGGGGCCAGCTCCCATGATTGACTTAATTACAAGATGTGTGCCAAACAATCTGTATTAAGCTAGATCATGGGTCTCTGCAGGAAAAGAGAGAGGCTTGGAGCCAATTGAATGGGTATCACTGTAAGAAGATTGCCTAGCAGAGAGAAATTTGCAAACATTTACACTAAGGCTATGAGCTCTGAAGTCAGACCTTGATTTAAATTCTTTTTTTTATATAGGAAGAGTTTATAGAAAATCAATAATATATATATTATATAATATATATATATATATATATTATTGATTTTCTACAGAGAGGAAGAGAGAGGGATAGAGTTAGAAACATCGATGAGAGAGAATCATCCATCAGCTGCCTCTTGCAACCAAGGTACATACCCTTGACCAGAATCGAACCTTTTAGTCCACAGGCTGATACTCTATCCATTGAGCTAAACGGGTTTCGGCTAAATTCTTATTAGGAATTCATTAGCTGTGTACTCTAACACTCTTAAGCCCTTGGTTTTCTAGTTTGTAAAAGGAAATAGCTATCTTGAAGGATGGCTGCAAAGATTAAATGAGATGTGAGTAGATTCTAAATCAGAGGCCCTCAACAAGTTGGAACCATCATTCCTCCTCAGCCTAGAATCCCTTTCATTCATTAATTCCACTCTCCCATGAAGACAGCTTGTGGTCAGCCACCTCCTTCACAAGGCTTTCTTACTCTTTCCCTCTCCTTATGGTAGAGGTGCTTCCAAAGTATCTATCATGGCACTAACACTTACCTCAAATTATCCCCATGTTTGCCTCTCCCACTAGCACTGTGCAGTCCTGGACTGCAGAGAGCACATCTAATTCATAAGCTTTTAGGACAGGCCCAGACAAAACAGAAATCAATGACACACACTTGTAGCATGTAGACTCTTGTGTAATTCACACCATCTGGACTGGAGAGACAGGGAGAGCAGTGGTATGTTAATGAGCCCCTCCCTTGGGAGAAACATTCAATCATAATTGAGATCTGATTCCTAGACTGGTTCTTTGGATCAGAGCTTTAGAGCAGGTAAAAGCTTCAGAGAAATGTCTCTCATGGGGAGAGGGGAGTTTATGTCTTAAAAAGCATTCAACATTATATATTCAGAAAGTTGAATCTTACTTTATTTTAGAATAGAAAGCCAGACAAAAACCTTGGCTGATAAGGGATATATAGGCATCAGCCACATCATGGGGATGAAAATCGGAACTGGGGCAGCATGAGGTACCTGTCTATCAAAAGGAGGAAAATGAGTTATTAAAGTGTGACAAATACTATTTCCAAACTCTTCTTTACACACAGAGGAGGGAGGATAGAGGGTTAAAGGAGTCCAAGGTCACACAGCTATGAGGTAGCAGAGACAGGACTTACAACACTCAATTATGCTCCTCCACTGACTGCATCATGGCTTGGGCAAGGCCTTGTGTGGTGAAGTAGTGGCACAACCCTAGGGTGGAGCAGCACTGGATGACGAGAGGTGGTGGCATGGTGTGATTCTGGGCAAGCCAATTTGTCTGAGACCCGGTTTCCAAAATGCAAAATAGATAATATTCTGTCTCATTGCTGAAGAATCAAGGGAAAGTACTTTATAAACTGTATTAAAAGTGGTCCTTCTGGCTTTTAAGTCATCCAGCTTACAAAAACAGCAACACACTAAAGCTCTTCAGCATAACTCCAAAGAAGGATTTCCAAGGAAGTAGGAAAATCAGTATTAATCAAAACATTTTGAGTACATTGGAATCAGGGTTAAGTTGTAAGTAGTATAACAGGAAAAGAAAGTAAAATCAGATCTACTTCTTTAATTGCAAACCATGATAAACTCCAAATAGAACAGAGATCTAAAAAAGGTAAATCACACAAACACTAGCACATGAATTCAGTGACATGAAGATGAGGAAAACTGTTAACAGCTCAAAATCCTGAAGCAGAATAACATAATTGCATAGAAGCCTAAGAATTCTGCTATAGCCAAAACTGGTTTGGCTCAGTGGATAGAGCGTCAGCCTGTGGACTGAAAGGTCCCAGGTTGATTCTGGTCAAGGGCATGTAACTTGGTTGTGGGAACATCCCCTGTGGGGAGTGTGCAGGAGGCAGCTGATTGATTCTCTCATCAATGTTCCTCTCTGTGAAGTCAATAAAAAATATATTTAAAAAAAAAAAATTCTGCTATAGCAACCAACCCAAATCAAAATCACCATAGACTTGAGGGAAATACAAATGACCAGTTGAAAGAAAATCTGCAACTTAATCATAAAGTGTTTTAACAGCTTGAATACAGATTTAGCTACCCACAGAAAAAGAAACAGATGGCTAACCCATCTATGTACCTGAGGTATTGACACTACCACTTTCAGGTTACACTCAACCTCACAAGAGAAATGCAAAAACTATTCTGAAAGTCCTGCCTTGCCTATCAGACCAAAAAAGTCAAACTGGACAATGTAACTTGTTGGAGAGTCTGTGGGGAAGAAAATGATTAGGTTCCCATGAAGGTAAATGGCAGTTATTTAAATTACATTCCTTTGCTTTGATAGGAGCCTCAATTTTTAAATGGCAAATATAATTAAAGTATCTGTATGAGGCTATTAAGCACTGTTTATAGAGACAGCAATTTGGAAGCTCAAATGACCATCAGTAGAGAATTGGTTGGATCAATGATGGTATAGCCACTCAGGAATGAATAAGTAATATAAAAAGTGGATACTTAAGGAAAAAAGGATTTAAATGGATTTATACCCTGGCTGGTGGACATTTGTAAAATCAGTAAGTTTCAGAAACCCTGGAAAAAATTCCACTAGCCATAAGCTAATTTAAATACTGCTTACAGAAACTTGTCATGTGAACAGCACACACTTAAATAAAAGACAAAAGCTCAACAGAGTGTTAAATTTTTTATTCACTGATAAACTAAAAATTCATTTCTAGATGTTTCTCTTGGTAAGCTTCATGTTTTATTAGTAAGCAAAGGCCTATATAAGGTGCCTTCACCTAGTCCTCAGATTCAGACCCATCTTCATCTTGACTAATCTGGAAGTAGCGAAGTTCATATGTCTCCTTATCAGATGCAACCACACGAAGCCAATCACGAAGACTATTCTTCTTGAGGTATTTCTTGGTAAGGTATTTCAAATATCTTTAAAACAAAAATATTTATTTTATGAAATACCTATGTAAAGGCTTATTACATAAAAGTCATGCACTGTTACCTTCACGTTATAGGCTCCCAATTGCCCCCAAGATACTTCGCTTGTATTAACCATTGTGCAAGATTGCTAGGGATACAACCCCTATTACAATCAGTTTTTACTCTACAAAACCCTTATTCTCCCAACTCCTTAAAACGAGTATTTTTATGTTATAAGCCAATATGCAAGAGCAGCTTTCTCTTCGATCTGTCACAGATTATTTCTACATTAAATTTACAATTTCATTCTTCCAATGTACCATGTACTAAAATATCAACAATCCCTTCTTCACCACCATCTCTAACCTGAATCCCATGTTGCATCAATTAGAGGTAACCTCTCAACAGGTTCCACTAACAAGTCAAGATTAGCCACAGCCTTGAAACTAACACCTGGCTGTTATTAAAAGCTTTCAGCCTGGCTGAATCTCATTACCAGCCTTTCTGCCCTTTGTTAATACTGCTCCCTTTGCCAGAAATACCCAACTCCACTGGCAACACTGTGTTCATTCTCAGATTTTCTACTAATTCCTGTGTCCTCCCTCCCTATCCCTTGCCTAAGTAACTGTCACTATCACTAAGTATATTTTCCATTCATATAGGCCTTATTAAAGTTCAAAGCACTTTTGATATGTCTCCAACAACGTATCTATTCCTACATATGAAGAGCATAGTAGGATTACATATTCCATAAAACATTCCACAATTATCCTAATTTCACTAAAATAGTATGGAAAATAAATACTAACCTTTTAGAGAATTGTTTCTCAGAAACAACTGTGATTTTATTCTTGAAGCGTTCAATGTGAACTACATTCCCAAGATTTCCAGTTTTCCCATTGACTTTAACCTTCTCCCGTAGAAACTGTTCCTATTTTAAAACAGAAAATGTGCAAAACTAGGGAAGAAAACCCTAGATATTCACTAGGGAAGGTACCCTAGGAACAGAGCTTAGGTTAAAATCAAATATTATATACTCAGTAATTATTAAGAACTATAGATTGATTAAAAAAAAAAAAAAAAAAACAACACAAACTGAGTCAAGTAATACTTACAAAATTTGCAGAGTCAAAAATGCCATCTTCTACTGGATGAGTAAGGTCCAAACCAAACTTCCAGGTTGTCCTCTTAGGCTTCTTGGCTTTCTGTCACAGAATATTAATATAATCATGACTCTCGGAAACAACTTGGTCACTTTATTTACAAACTTTAAAAAATCTATCAATGCAATGATGTACACGATGCCAAAAGATGACATGAAACTGAGCAAAATCCTAAAACAAACAGCCAATCACCAATCGGGTTATTCCTTTTCAACCAGGATGCCGGAAGGAGGGGGAGTACACCCCTTGACTTACACCAAGTTTTGGTGAAATCTGATGGAAATCTGTCCTACATCATACAAGTTGTCTCCCAAATGCAAAACTCGAAAGAATATGGTAAGCTACTTACTACTCGTTCCCTTCATTAGAAAATTTCAAGGAGTCCTACTTTTACAACTGGAAAGGATTGAGAGGATCCATGCACATCCTACTACAAGTACTACAAGTGAGAGCTAGAAAACACCCATCCTGCTATTTGAACCTCTAACCTTGTTCAAATTACCAAGGAAAGTCTTACAGCCCTTACTATTTCCCAGACCGCGGATGTCCTACTTCAAACTACCGGGCACTATATTTCTCCAGGACTGGCGCCGCTCCACCATTGCCAACCCCACTGCGGATGGGGACCAGCGCTCCGCCAGGTCAGTGATCGCACCTTCACACCCACATAATTCACTCCTATCGCTGGTACAAAGGGGGGGGGGGGGGGAAGAGCTTTAATCTGGCCAGTATTTTTTTTTTTTAACTTTAAAAACACGTATAACTTAGCTTTTCCAGACCCCACACTTTCAGGCCAATGGCCACGTGACAGGGTCACACAAGTGAAATGGTGCTATAGCTACTAACTACTCAGACAAAATCAGCATTTGCCAGAGGATGACACTTCCACATCACATCTACCCAAATGGGTATCAGGCCTGCGTCCTTACGTAGTCCAGGAACTTGTGCCGAAAAACTTGCGTTCAACTTAGGAGACGCAAGTTTCCGCCCGGCGGAGATGAACCGGGGTTATGGCCGGCTCAGGCAGCGCCAGTTTTGTCTGTGACCCAGCAGTATCGCCCTCATATACTTTTTTTTTAAATTTCCGACACACACCTAGCTTCCCAAGTGCTCTTGGGACCGACTTTAACATCTTCCCGATTCCCTTATTCTAAGGTCAATGTTTGAAAGCGCATTCCTTTTACATTTACCCAACAGTCGTGGTTTGTGCCTTTAAAACAATTTCTTCATGAGAACAAGCTTCTCCCGCAGCTCGGCTCTGAGTTCTCTTTTGTAAGGGGGGCTAAGGCCGTCAGACCCCCCCGGCACCCCATCCCCTCCCCGGTGCCAGCTGACGGGCGGCGGGGAGAAAAGCAGCGGCCCACGTGCCGCCGGAGCCCCCGGCCCGCTGCCTGGGCGCCTCCTTCCCTGCGCTCGCCCGGCCCCCCAAGCCAAGGCCCGGCCCGGCCCGGCGCCACGTGCCGGTAGCCCTCGGAAGGGCTTAGAGCCTTTACAGTTAGGTCGTTTCCCTGATGCAGTCTACTCTTCCACTCCCTTTTATCTCCAAGGAGACAACCCCAACTCTCCAGACGCCTAAGTGGTCTACTTGGGGGGGGGGGGGGCGAGGGGGGGGCAAAGACGACCGCGCAGCGATAGCGCGCACACTCACCGGCGCCATCTTGCCAGCAGGCCGCGCGATCAGAGAGAAAGCCGGGGGCGTCGGCACGTATTTATAGCGGAGCGTGCTGCGTCAATGCGCCGCGACGTAATCTCCGCGCCGGCCGGAAGGGAACTCGAGAAAGAACGCGGAGGCCGGTAACCCAGGAAACCGGTAACCCAGGAAACGGAGGGCGCGTCAGGGAGCGGAGGCAGTCAGGTCTCCTGGGAGCGCCCCCCAGCGGCGGTGTATGGAAGGGTTCACGGTGTTCCGTAAGAAGCTGGCTCTGCACCAAGTTACACACACATACTACCGAGGTACAGAGGACTCATCTTTCACTAACCGGCTGCATCTTCTTTCCATTCAGAGCAAGGCATTGTCTCAAGAACTATTGAGATCTCCTGTCTTCCGTAATTATTACCCTCCAGCAAAAATTTATTTCTATATCTGTTTTGTTTTCTAAATGATGGTTGAGAGAAATCAGTATTTCAGAACACAAAATAAACTGTTTTCCAATAGAAAAAAAGAAATCTTGAAGTGAAAATCACTTGTTTGCACATTGGGTATGACATATATATTATATATTATAAAACTTAAAGAAGATACAGTATCATTTTCAATAACATAATTATATAAAAAGTCTAAGAAAAAAATAACAAAAAGACCTTTATGCAGAACTATAAAATGTAATTGAGAGAAATTAAAAGACAGATAAATGGAAAGACATTGGATTGGAAGACCCAACATAATTAAGATGCCAATTTTCCCCAAACTGGATTATAGATTCAATGTGATCATAAATAGTAGTTTAATTTTCTTTTTTTTCCTTCCTTTTCTTTTTATAAACCAATTTGAAACTTTTTATAATACCAGAATATACTTAAAGAAAATAATAAAGTGGGAGAACTTGTTCTTCTGATTAAAATTTATTTATTTAATTTACAATTGAGGAGATTAATATTTATTTTAATGATACCATAATTTAAGACAGTTGGATATATTTCCAGGTTAAACATAGGCCAATAGAATAGAATAGAGACAGAAACAGACACATACACATATAAATGGATTTTTACCACTTAGGGCAAAGTGTCTCTTTAGAATAGCCCTCATTATTTTTCTAATTAAAATATGTAAATTAATGTACAGTTGCAAAAACATAAATTTTGTAAAACTTTAAAATCCATCTACACTAGTATTTTGTACTGGAAAGATTATAGATTTCTCAATGGATGTTTATAATCTACTAGAGGCCCAGTGCACAAAATTAGTGCACTGGCATGTGTGTGTGTGTGTGTGTGTGTGTGTGTGTGTGTGTAAATCTCTCAGCCCAACCTGTGCCCTCTCACAGTCCAGGAGCCCTCAGGGGATGTCTGCCTGCAGGGACCAGGCCTAAGCTGGCAGGTGGACATCCCTCTTGCAATCTGGAACCCCTCAGCTCCTTACTGCCCACCTGCTCACTGCTCCTTACCATTTGGCTCACAGAAGTGGGAGAGGCTTCTGCCACTGCCATTGCGCTAGCCAGCCATGAGCCTGGCTTCTGGCTGAGTAGCACTCCCATGGGAGTGCACTGACCACAGGGGTGCCCCTGCGTTGAGCTTCTGCCCCCTGGTGATTAGTGAGCATCATAGTGACCAGTCGTTCTGGTTGTTCTGCCATAATGGTAGCTTAGGCATTTACTATATAGACTAGAAGCCTGGTGCACAAAATCGTGCCCTGGGAGGAGGGGTCCCTCAGCCTGGCCTGTGCCCCTCTCACAGTCCGGGAATTCTCAGGGGGGTGTCTGACTGTTGGCTTAGGCCTAAGCTGTCGGTTGGACATCCTTAGTGCTGCCACGGAGGCGGGAGAGGCTCCCGCCACTGCCACTGTGCTCACCAGCAGTGAGCCCGGCTCAAGGCTTCTGGCTGAGCAGTGCTCCCCCTGTGGGGGCGCAATGACCACCAGGAGGCAGCTCCTGTGTTGAGTGTCTGCCCCCTGATGGTCAGTGCACATCATAGCAACCGGTCATTCTGCCATTAGGTCGATATGCATATTAGCTTTTTATTATATAGAATAAATATATAGAATCAACTGGACAGCCTTCTGGATGTCTTTCTGGACAAAGCCACAGGAGCAGGGGCCAAGGCAGAGGTGGATAGGGGCGATCAGGAAGGCAGGAGAGCAGATAGGAGCAATCAGACAGGCAGATAGAGCAGTTAGGGGCAATCAGGTGGGCAGGCAGGCAAGTGGTTAGGAGCCAGCAGTCCTGGATTGTGAGAGGGATTGGGCCTAAACTGGCAAGTTGGACATCCCTTGAGGTGTCCCGGATTGTGAGAGGATGCAGGCCGGGCTGAGAGATTACTTCCACCACACACACACACACACACACACACACACACAAATTTCGTGCACTGGGCCTCTAGTATTCTAATAAACATTTTTCCATGTAAGTAGCAATATGCATTTTGAACCATGAAAAAATGCTTTGGCATTTAGGCAAACAAAGCTGTGAACAGTGCTCTCTGTCACACTGCATTTGTATTTGCTACATCTGCTCTTCCTGCAGCTGTCTTGGGTATGTGCATCACAAGGTTTCTTACAGAAATGGGGTGGCATACCTACTTATTCCAGGGTTCTCTTTTGTAAGACCTTGGCGTAGTTAACATCACAAAGGATCACACTATAACACAGAAAGTAGATAATGTCTGCATTTCTGATATTTACTTTTTTACATCTTATTTGCTAGTAGCTGATTTATAAAACAGGAATTTATAAATACCCCTGTACCCAAATTTTCCATTCATCAATGTTATCACTATATATTTATCATTAAAAAAGAGAGAGATTTCATATATGTAGTAATAATATGATCTCACAGTATTTTTTTTTATTTTTTTTATTCACAGTATTTTGTACGGCATTTTCTCTTTGGCATGTGCTACAAAGAGGAGCATGTTGAATGTCACAAGGCATTGTACCACTCATCTTTGGGAAATTATACTTGAATGACAGTGCAGCACAAACTGTCCTGTGATAGCAAACTACACAGTTTTGACAAAGGATGTGCTACAGCCTTCTGTGCAAATATTGAGGTACTGAGGAGAAACTCAGTACTACTGGAGAATATTGCTTTTAACTCCTCCAACTTATGAATGTTCTTTGTTACTTGTAAGTGAAATCCAAGGGCACCAGGAGGGAAGAAATAGGACCTGAAGTCACTGCTGCTTGCCCTTTCTTTACTAATTTGATTAGAGAGCATTTAAAACTATGATTAAAAATTTTGTTTGTCCAAAACTGGTTTGACTCAGTGGATAGAGTATCGGCCTGTGGACTCAAGGGTTCCAAGTTCGATTCCTGTCAAGGGCATATACCTTGGTTGGAGGCACATCCCCAGTGGGGGGTGTGCAGGAGGCAGCTGATTGATGTTTCTCTCTCATCGATGTTTCTAACTCTCTGTCCCTCTCTCTTCTTCTATGTAAAAAATCAATAAAAAAGATCTTTAAAAAAATTTTTGTTTGCCTCAGTGCATCTTTTCTGTCTGTTTAGAAAAACCTAACTTATTAGGTTTTTATTATTTTTTTAAAAATGCAGTTTCAGAAGATCTTCTTATTATACAATGCCACAGGAATTCTGAATAATTGATCAACCTTTAAAATGTGAACAAGTATCTTTTCCATTGCTTAATTTAAAAAAAAATATATTTTTTATTGATTTTTTACAGAGAGGGAGAGAGAGGGATAGAGAGTTAGAAACATCGATGAGAGAGAGTCATCGATTAGTTGCCTCTTGCACCCCCCCCCCTTGGAGGTGTGTCCATATCCAAGGTACATGCCCTTGACCGGAATCGAACCTGAGCCAAACCGGCTTCAGCTCCATTGCTTAATTTTATTACTTGTTATTTATAGCCTAGTGATTCACATATTGGTATCCTTTTGGATTACTTTTTTCACTATTATGAACAATGCTTTGAGAAACTTTTTAAAAACTATCTTCTTATACAAAAGCAATGCTCATGAAAGGAAATGCAGGGAAGCATGAAAGAAATTACATAAATTTCACTTGCTTAGAAATTGTTATTTAACACCTTGGGGACATGCATGCTTGTGATTATTATGAATTTATTAAAATAAGTGGTACTATACATATTTATTTGAATTTTAAAAAATTTTTATGTTAGAAATTATTTCAAACACTGAAAATTATTTTAAAAAATTTCAAAGAGCAGGCACATACATATGAATATTTAAAAATCTGCATGAATATTTACATATATATATGTGTGTGTGTGTGTGTGTGACTCCTCTATGCAGATTTTTATCTATCATCGTTTTGTTCCATTTATTTACATTTGTTTCCCCTTCTGCCTCTTACCCCAAATGTATACACACTTTAACAGCTGATAGTTCAATTTTGAAAATGAAATTTATTTTAATAAACACTGCCTTTGTAATTATTCACAGTGTGTGGGGGGATAATATATATTTGGGTTTTCAGTCATAGTTAAAGCCAAGTTATAAATTCAGTTTTCTTAGAGAACTTACAGTTTGTTTTTATTTAGACCTCTGTTCTATTTGGGATTTATCCTGTGTATCTTGTATGTAATTTACCTTATTTTATTTTTCTTTTTCCAATTGCCCCAGAACAACTTAATTAACTTTTTCCCATGGGGAGGGTAGTCAGGGGTGATTTGCAATATCGCCTTTATCATACACTAAATTTCTATAAGTATCTGGGCCTATTTCTGAGTGTTGTATTCCATTTTGTTGGCTCTTCTAATCATTTGATGGTACCTATTATTATTACAGTGGATTTATATTATGTTTTAATTTTGGGAAGTGTTAATCCTCACTCATAGCTCTTTCTTGTCAGTGTTTTCCTAGTTATTCTTGCATGTTTATATTTACAAATACACTTTTTAGCAACTTAGTTCCATAAAAAAAGCTTTCTCGTATTTTTATTGGGACGGCCTTAAATTTGTAAAATGAACTAAGTAAAACTATCATCTTAATAATGTTAAGCTATCAGCCAAGAATAATGTCTTT